TTTTTTTTTCAAACCTTAATAATTTTAATATTAATAGACTAATCTGAATAATTAAAACATCTTCTGAATCCTAAAATTATAGGCTATTTGAAATAATTAATATATATATTTTATGAAGATTATATTTTTTTATAAAATTAATTAAAAAAAAATTTTTTGTGTCATAACCATGACAGACTCTGTGTACGTTGGAACACACATATGTGATAGTTGAGACACTCATGATAGAGGTCTAAATAAATTAAAAAATTTAAAATCAGTAATCCAGTAAGACTAGAGGCTATGACACATTTGATTTTATTGATAATATTGCAATTCATAATCAATAACTATATAAAAAAAGATTTTAGCTTTAGGAAATTTATTTTGGCAAAAAAAAATTGTAAAAAAAAATTTTTTTTAATCATAAACATAGTGAAAGATAAGTATTTAATTACATTTATTGCACATAAAAAATTATCAAAGAATCTATAAACAAGTTAAAAAAATTTAAGTATGAAATGAACATTTTATTATAAATGTAATATTGTGATTGATTAATGATATTCATTTAAATGATGAGAAACAAGTTAATAAATTTTAAGTAGGAAATGAATATTTTGAATGATTGATTATTCACAATACCAAATGATTCATTATTCACAATGCTAAATTAATAATTTTAAATGATTCATTATTAACAATACTAAATGATTCTTTATTCACAACACTTAATGATTCATTATTCACAATACTAAATAATTCAGGTAACAGATTAAATCATGGGGAAATTTTTCATATATTATTTTTTTTTTATTTTTTTTTTTTAAATATTTTTTTTTATTTATTTTTTTTTTAAATATATTTTTTTATTTATTATTTTTTTTAAATTTAAAAAAAATCTTAAGTATATTTAAGAATTTAGAAAAAAAGAGTATATTTAAGAATTTAGAAAAAAGAGTATATTTAAGAATTTAGAAAAAAAGAGTATATTTAAGAATTTAGAAAAAAAGAGTATATTTAAGAATTTAGAAAAAAAGAGTATATTTAAGAATTTAGAAAAAAGAGTATATTTAAGAATTTAAAAAAAAAGAGTATATTTAAGAATTTAGAAAAAAAGGGTATATTTAAGAATTTAGAAAAAAAGAGAATATTTAAGAATTTAGAAAAAAAAGTATATTTAAGAATTTAATAAAAATAGGTATACAAAATAATTAATCAATTTATTTGAATAAACATAACATATATACAATGATAATATAGATATATATATTTTTAAGCAAAAATAGTTCTATGTTATCCATAAAGAGGTAAAATGTTAAATTTAAAAAACTTTGATATTGTATCAAAAAATTTCCTTCAAAATCCACACGATATTTATTTATCAAAAAAAAAATCTAAAAATATGCCGAATTTATACCAAAATCCAGACAATCTAAAAAAAATAAATAAAAAATTTAAAAAAAAATAAATAAAAAAAAAATAATAAAAAAAAATAATAAAAAAAAATAAATAAAAAAAAAATAATATATGAAAAATTTCCCCATGATTTAATCTGTTACCATAATTCATTATTCACAATGCTATATTAATAATTTTAAATGATATTCATTATTAACAATACTAAATAATTCATTATTCACAATACCAAATGATTCTTTACTCACAATACTAAATTATTCATTATTCATATTCACAATACAAATTAATAATAAAATTTATTAATTTGTTTATAGATTCTCATTGTGAATAATGATATTATTTTAAATGATAAATCTCAGGATAAGAATAAATAAATTTCATTAAGCTTCTAAAGGAATAGAACTTTAATCATTGCATATAAAATATTAAATTAAAATCTAGTAATTAGATGCTCTTATTTATCTTTTTTTTGGTAAGTCCATAAAAATTTTTAGAGGATTTTAATATGTAATTAGCTATATTTTCTTCCTCCACTTTATTAAAAACACATTTGTGATTTGAATATCCCATTGTGGGTATTGAATTATTTCCATTTTTCCTCTTTTTTGATAAATATCTTGCTAAATTAGATTTTGGAATGCCTAAAAAATATATATATAATATAAATAATCTTACCTGTAAGTAATGATAACTTTCTGACTGAGGTTGTTGGATATAAAATTAAAGCATTTTCATAATCCTCTGTACAGAAGATTTATCTATCCTTTTTATTGTAATTCCGCATCACTAGCAAATGATAAAATGAGCTAAAATGTCGTGTCCCAACTACACTATGACCAACTATGACCGAGCCCACTAACTTTATAAATATCATCCAAAATCATATTAATTCATTTATTGATTCTGAAAGTTTGCCAGATTGGAAAATAGGATTTAAACTTTCCTAAAATCTATTTATTAAGATTTTTAAAGCTTTATTTATAAATATAAACGATAAAGTTTGCAAATATTTTTTATTACTTTTGGTATGCCAAAACACATTTTCTTCTGTAAAAATTAAAATACTAAATATTTTTCAAATCTTTCGCCAATCATGTATGTCGTGATTATCTATGTTAGGCTCAAATTTCCAGTCTTATAAAATAATAGCTCAAATTATAATTAGAGTGACCTAACGTTCCCCTGTACTCAATGTACCCCGGTCTCCCCTATTGTGATGTAAAATATTTTTGGAAATGTTTTGGTAAAATTTTGTAAATTTTTAAATCTTCTGATAAGAGCGCATATATATAGAGAATAAATTGTAGTATTTAATTTATGTTATTTAATAAAGTGCTAACGTTAAGGACAATGCCGAAATATGTCTCTTAAATTAAATATTGATTAATGAATATTGGTTGGTTGGACTAATAACAAATACTGCAATCTTTTTAAATATTTGAATAATAAAATAATTTAAATTCATATTTGTTTTTAAAAAAAATATTTTGAAAAAATTTACAAACGGTGAGAAAAGCAGTGTGAAAAAACGTGATTGAATATAAAAATTGATAAGAAATCGTGAGAATCATGGCTAATTTGTGACATCTGGCAACCCTGGTTCCAAGATGATGAATGAAGGTTTAGTTTCATTTTTTTGCTTCTATATTTTGAATCAAAACCTAAAGAAATAATAAAAATTCATTATGGATTTAGATATGAGCGAACAAAATTTGGATAATGTTTTAAATTGAATTTATTTTTTTAATCATATATAATTATTATATATAAGTTGATTTTATCCGTCTATATATTGAATTTTTTATATAAATCTAGAAATACACTGTTTTTAATTCCATTTTTATACACTTAAAAAAATTTGTTCATTTTTCATCTGGAAAGTTTAATTTTTAGATTTAATGTTGGGGTTGTGAATAAAATTTGCATTTTTGAAAAACATTATGAACGGGGGCCTTCCTATTATCTTAAACTTTGAACGTGAACTTAAATGTTATGTTCATTCAATTTTAAAAAAGTTAAAATTTTCAATTAAAAAATTAACCTAAAATAATAATCAGAGACCTGCAGGCCCGGCCCTGTTTAAAATATACCCGGGCCGGGCCTGAAATTTTTTTTTAAAAATAGCCAGGCCGGGCCGGGCTCTATTTTTTTAAAAAATTTATACAACATGAATTATTTTATTCGTCAATTAGATATGGTTATAATGATTATATATTGTTATGATCAATATAATTTTGGTGAAAGTTAACACTAGCTAACACTTGTATCTATTACATAATATAATATAATTATAGTTTTCCTGCCATGGAATACGCAAAGGATTAAATACATTATTATATAATATATGTTATATTTTTTTTATAAATACAATTAATATAGTATATTCTCAAAATATTATTTATACAAATTTATTATAGTATCAATTTGTAATATACTAAATATCTGTTAAGAATAAAAAAAAAAATTAATGTTGTTAAACGGCTCGTTTTGAGCCGATTTTTAAAAACGGCTAACTAAGTTTTTTCAGAAAAATATTATGCAAGCCTGAAAATTCTGTTCAAAGAAGGAGTAAAGGTCTAGACATATAGTATCGAAATTTCGAGGCTTAGTCAATATTTTTATGGCCAATATTGAGTTAGCCGTTTTTAAAAATTGGCTCAAAACTAGCCGTTTAACAACATTAGCTAATATGCTTGCTTATTAAATGATAATACTCGCCGAAAAATATGATAAAATACCAAATAGATGAATTTTTTGTATATACCAGGTCGAATATAATTTAAAAAAATTCCTAGCCGGGCCTAAAAAATTTTTTTTTAAATATCCTGGCCATGCCTAAATTTTTAAACCTGGGCCGGGCCGTAAAAAATTTTTGCAAAAAAAATCCGGGCCGGGTCGAAAATTTTTTAATCCTGGCCAGGCCGGGCCGTGCAAATGGTACCACTGCAATTCTCTGATAATAATCTTGATTTTTTTAAAAATATATTTGATTTTCTTACTCAGCTCTTTCCTTTAACTATTTTAAGCGTCCATTTATGACTAGTCTACTTATTTCTATAAATTGAAATTGTTTTATACAATTAATTTTTTTAGATAAGTTTTATTCATCCGGTATTTCAAACAAAAAGGCTTAGGAGTTTTATAAAACGAAAAGATAAAAAAATACACAGTATTTTAAGAAATCTGTATTAAAAATAAACCTAGAACTAAAGAAGCCTCAGGACAATGTAAATTCTGAAATCTCGTTTTCAGATAATTTCTCCTGTTTCCTTAAAAAATAAATAATAAAAGTTTTTCAAATATTTTTAAAATTGAACCATATTTTATGTCGGATAAGACCCATCAATCTACATTAGGCTTGCCTTTATGAATTTACCTAAAAAATTAAATTGCATAATTTTTCCTTCCTGATAATTTTATTCAACCCTTTTTTATTAATAAGTTCAATATAAAGAAATTTTCTTTCAATAAAAAAAACCACACACAAAATTTATAAATACTCAATTTTTAACATTGTATATAGTAAAATTAACATAGAATTAAGAGTATAAATGAAAAATGGATTATTTGACAATTGCTTAAAAAAATGTATGTGCATTATATTAATAGTGTTCTAAATTGGAAATATAATTAAGTCTATATATAGCACGCAAGAAAATATGAAAGTATAATGATTATATTCTGCTAAGGTTAACAACATGAACATTGAATTATTTTTTAAAAACACATTTTTCTATCAGTGTAATGTAATTGAAGAATAACTTAAGATGAGCTTACAATATTTTCTTTTGTTGTTTAAAAAAAATATATTTATTACATATTGAAAATATTTTGGAAAGGGAAATACGTTTATTTTTCTTTTAAATTTTTTGTTAGTATTTGACATTTAAAAAAAACACGGAACATAAATAAAATTAAGCTTCATCACTTCCATGAGTTATCAAATGCGCTAATTTGGCGTAATCGTAAAGACCAGCTTCCGTGAATGGAGCATTTTTGAGTAAATCGGAAACCTTAATATTTACGTGTAAAGTTAAAATGAAAAAGATTTAAATTATGCTAATTATAGTTTAACATTTATCATAATTACTATTTATGACTTGGAAAAATTTAAGGTAAATATAATTAAATTATATTTTTTCTGTAAACAATGTGGGCTTGGACCAAAAGCGATAAGTTTTAGCAAAATAAAAGAAGAGCATACAAACCAAAAATAAACAAAATTTCAGTTAAAAAAAATTCACAAATTAGAGCATATGGCTTGAATAATCAAATAAAATTGCCAATCCTATAAAATTAATATAACCAATATTATTTAAGTTCATTATAAGACCAATTTTTCAGAGTTGTTAAACTAACGCGCTAACTTTTTTGGTAGCTATAGCTAATAGTGGCTACTTTTTTTGTAATTATTTAATTTTTTAGCGCGCTACTTAGCTACTTTTAAAAAATATAATGAAGGTAAGTATAAACATGAAAATTTAAATATAATATATAATTAATTATAATTTTTATGATTTATTATTTAATTTTGAAATTGAAATATATTTTCAATTTGTAATTTATATTTTCATTTGTATTATAAACCTAAATTGTGTTAATAATTTAAAATGTCATCGCCTATGGATATCCAAATCGTTGAAAGTGATTCAGACAATGATATTAATGAAATGGAAGATACCAAGGAAGAAAATGTTCTTAATAGCTATAATACAAATTTCCCATTCCTTAGATTTGAAATTTTTTTAAATAAATATATAATCCAAAACTGGCTTTAAATTTATTTGTTTAAAATGTTGCAAAAAATATTTCCTCAAATCAATCCAGTAGCTATAACCTCAAGACACACCTAAAGGTAAGTTGCCATTTTTACATTCTTATAATATTTATTTTATAAGACTGTTCATGAGTTTTAAGGAAATGGAGAAACATCTAAATAATTTTGGTATAGGCGACTCTATATCCAAAAAGACTAATTCAATTTAAAACAAATTAATTAATAATGCAAATGACAATATTTCTCAGAAATTGGCTGATAAAGTTATTGTTGATTATATAATTTACAGCCAATGTCCTTGGTTGATAATCCATCATTTACCATGATGATTAAAACTCTATCCCCTGGTACAACAATTTTATGCCGCCAGACACTAATGAATAAAATAGCAGATAACTTTAAAATGATGAAAGATAATAGTAGAGTTATCAGATATCATATATATGTACCACGGGAGATAGTTGGACACATAACAGAAGGTAAAAACTTATTTATATTTATATATTGATCTGATTAAATATTTTTGAGCTTATTTGGGAATCACAGGCCATTGGCTAGACTCTAAGACTTTAAAGAAGATCTGTGGCATTAGCCCTCAAATGATAATAGGATGCCAGACATACGATGTACTTGCAAATAAAGTTATTGATAATCTATCTTATATTAAAAATATGTATATAAGATTAAATACGCCCTTACCCTCAAGTGCTAGTGTCGAGAGATTATTTAGTAAGGCTAAACTTATACTTTCTGATAGTCGCTCTAGACTTGGGGATGATAATATTGAAATGATTTTATTATTAAAATGCAACAAAAATATTTATTTATATTACATAAATTTTTTTATAATCAAAACTAAATATATTTTAATATTTATAAATGTTGATTTTTATATATTTACTATACAATAACATTATAAGCAAAAAATAAAAAATTTGTTTGTAAATTTTTTTTATAAAAAGTAGCTTATAAAGTAGTTAAAGCTACTTTTAAAAAATAGTAGCTAATAGCGAGCTACTTTTTTTAACAAATAGCGATAGCGGTAGTGCGCTACTTATAAAAGTAGTGTTTAACAACTCTGCAATTTTTAATATTTTCAAATATTATTTTTCCATTTTATTTCTGAACTGAAAAAAAAACATAAACTTGATTTAAAAAAAACAATATATGTATGAATTACTTGCAATTTTGATAGAACCGAATGGGTTATGGTTCCTATTCTTAAAATTTTATCCAGGATTTAGTTCCTGATTCGGTTCCTAACTTTGTCCCGGTTTTTAGGATCTCAAGTTCAATTCGAAACTCTGGATACAATATGTTGTATGCATTATAATAATCATTAATAACAGTATCGACATACTTCATCATGAGTCATCCTCTCACCCATTCCGGTCAAGTAGTCTTTCATTCTGTTATATAAAATATATTATAAATAAAATGTGAAAAGAAAAAATGTTAAAAAGATGGTTTATTTCTTTTAAACAATATTACATTAATATCAACCATACAAAAAAATATATTATCTAATTTACACAGCTTCTTTAATCTTGCCCTCGCCTTTTTCATCGATTATTTTGAATGCATTTCTTATGACATCTTCCGTGTCAGTTCCTTTAATAAATACATATTTAAAAAACATAATATAAATAATTTATTGATAGTGAAAATAGCAATTACTAAATAGAAGCATCTTAAGTTAGGATGATATTCACCTGATAATTTGTCTCCAAATAATGTCAAAAACATGGTAAAGTTAATTGGACCAGGCGCCTCAGATAACATCTCCTCGAGGTCTTTATCTCTCGCATCTTTCCCCAAAGATGCGTACATATCTTTCAAATCTTCTTTGCTAATGAACCCATCCCTGTCTTGATCTATCATAGTAAAAGCCTTGCTTTTTAAAATTATTTTAAACATTTAATTTTTGTATCTGATAAGTAGTCTATTCATGATAAATACGAGCCTCTTAAAAATTTTTATACAAGATGAAAAACTACATATTAAACTTTAGTAATATTTTTTTGTAAAATCTATGGGACCTGTAAATTAGTTTCGATTAAATGAATCAAAAGTTATAATGTTGCTTATTATATATACACATTTGATTTTAATTTAGATATAAACGTTAAATAAGATAAAAGTATGCCAATAAAATCTTTTTTAAGAAATAGAATAAAAACAAGCCTTTCATAAAGGTACAATTCGCAACTTATTACGAATTGCGATACTATGTGAATAATTCATAAAAAGCATTAACACTGCATTCATCAAGTATAATAGCTTAATATTCGATTTTTTGTATTAAATTATTTAAAATTGTTTTGAAATTCTAAAATTTATAATAAACCTTTTTAAAATCGAAAAAAAAACCTCTTTAAATTCCTGAATTTGAGTTTGGCCAAACATAGCAAATACGTTGGAAGTAGCCCTCTGAGCTCTCATTTTCTTCTTTCCCGTACTTAAAGCCGGTGCTGTGGTCGTTGTTGCCTTTTCCTTTATTACTTCTGGTTCTGGTTCTTTTTCTACTTCTTTAACAGGCGTTGGCATACTAACCTCTTTCTCTTTGTCCCGATCCTTATCTTTGTCTTTACTCTTCTTTTTCTGTTTATTAATAATTTAATAAATTATAAAATTAATTATTTATTCCCAAAATTTCTGCCTTCAACCTAAATGAGTGGCAACATCTCCAGACGGCTAATGAAGGTTTAAAAGGTTCCTTGTCGTCTAGAAAATAAGCATGGGCTCCTCGCTGTGGTGCAAACTTCATCTTTAGGAGTTAATATCATATAGGGCATCAGGTTAAAAAATCGCGCCAAAATTCCAAATAATTAAAACCAATTCAATAAAAAGAAGGACGGGGAACCCGGTGAAATCATAATTCATAAAAACGAGACAAATGATGGCCAAACATTATAGGGAGAAACCGGTCTAGTAGTGATAGGTAAGAGCTGCGATGTAGAATGCAGAAACATTATTGGGAAAGATGGAGAAATGGTGAAGACACTACAGAGAAGGGGAGTATATGTGCATTGTATACAAGAGATCAGATGGAAAGATATTGATGCAAGAATGATTGGCAAGACAAATTAAATGCCTACTCGCCTGTAGCTATGGATACAATAAATATAGAAAAGACAACGATGATGATTGTTGGGGACACTTTATAAATGAAGGAATCTAACACCTGGTTTTGTGGGATATATGGAAAGGAGTCTCTAAAAATTCAATCCAATGCCACTGCTGCTAAAAATTTGGATATAAAGGTTACGTTAACTGTGTGAGAATTTGCTAGTCTATGGTAATGAAATATGGACAATTAAAGTGGCACACAAAAAAATTAAAAAGAATGATGATAATGGTTAGATTTATGTATAAAGGTACTTCGGAGAGAAAAAAGCAGCAAGGATTTCAAGAGAGGAATGGAAAAGAAAAGGCTGAAGTGGTGATGAGAAGAAATAGACGATTAGTTTGGCTATTTATGAAAGGCGAAAGATGACTGGATAAAGAGATGTTCTCGAGGACGACTGTGACATGAAAAAAATGGATCTTAAATATAACGACCACCAGGAATTTAAAAATGGTCAAGGATCAAAGAGAAAACTGGCTTACATGGGTTAAAGCTGGAAAACGCCATTAATCGAAAGAAGAGGATAAAAGTAATTGATTGGACAAATTTATGTAAATTATATATTATTTGGCAAAATTTTCTAAATGTTTGAATAGAAAGTCTATCTTCTGATGAAAAAATAATTGTTTTGTATTCCTCTATAAATACCCCACCCCCACCCAGGGTTGCCAGATATTCTTCACTTGAAAACGTGAGTTTTTCTTTTATAATAATTAACCCCCATACCCCCCAATTTGCGGGCCTTCGGCCGGGGTAATTGATGTAGCATACTCTCTAAGTTAATATGTTATATTTAACATAACAAGATTTTAAAGACAATGAAAATTCTTTATTGATTTACTAATAACAATTATGATATATAATTTTCTCATGTTTATAAATATAGCAGCATAATATTAATTATATATTTTATGGATGATTTTAAAAGAGGCAAAAAGATTTCCCATCGGAGTTCAGCTTCCAATGATGACGTTCTTTTCGTTAAGCAGTAGTCATTAGTCTGAGTATTCTCTCTGATGAAGCATTTGAATGCGGAATAGAAAATTGCATATTTTCTCTATCAATGGTGAGTTTTAATTAGAAAGAAAATCCATCCATTTTTCTTGGGTATTCATGTGATAGTTTTTTGATAATTTTTATTCATAATAGGAATAAAATTGTGAATATTCCTCAAAGTGAATTTCTGTGTCTATGTTTGGTATTTTATAATTACTAATAATTTTTTGTAATTGTTCAAATTCTGGACATTATTTTAATGTCATAGGGCTAAGATATTTTCATATATTATCTCTATGATATCATAACCTTTTTCTACATATTCTATAATATTTTTTATAAATATCTTTGATTCATTTTTGAAATTTATTGCCTTTTCTACATCATTATTATGTTGTAAAATATTTTTAGAAATGCATAAAAATTTTGTAGAATTTTTAAATTTAATGAATTCTTTAGTTTTAGGATAAGATCATGTATATATATTGCTAATACATCTTCAGATTGCAATTGTAAATTTATGTTATTGACTAAAGTGCAAACACCTAAATATGCCTCTGCAAAATCATCTCCAAAAATTATTTTCAAAATTGGTGGGGTTGCTGATAATGATAAAAAATATTCTTTAAGGGGTTGAAAATACTTAAGCATCCGCTTAATCGCTGGGATCAATGTAAGCCAGGGTGTTGGAACATGGCGAAATGATTCTGACCATTCTAAATTGCACCATTCTACCAATTCTTTTAAAAATGTAACTCTTATTGTCGAGTTGCTAAATTCATTATAGTATTTAATTACTATACTCTCAATATCATATTTAAGAAAAATTATGGCCTCTTTAAACGAATTGTGAAGAATGTTGCATATACAACCCATTGGTATATTATTACTATGGCTTTTCAATTCTGTCCAAATACTTTAATTTTTCCCAAAGTTTACAGATGCGTTATCTGCACAATAGGCCGTTATTAGCAATATCAAGTTCAGCGAATTTTAAATTTTCTAGCAAGCATCTAGATATGTCTTTAGGGGTTTCACTGTCCACCGGAAAAATTTTAAGTAATTAAACATTTATTCCATTCTTTTTGTTGAAGTATCTAAGTAATAAGGGGCATCCGTTAGTATTGAAAACGGATGATTGTTTTTTAGATCTTTTATAATATTTGCCCTTAATTTATTTCATTTAAAATTTTACGAGTTTTAATATAAGATTTATAAAATCCATAAAAGAAATGTATAGTTATTTAAATTCATATTATAATTATACTCTTGAGAAACTTTCTAAAAATTGAATTTCTGTTGTGGGTAATTGATCAATGAATACGATTGGTTAGTTGTTGAACTATTAACAAATACTACAATTTTTTTAAATATTTTTTAAATATTTTAAAATAAAATTAATTTTAAATTTTATATTTGTTTTTAAAAATATTTTAAAAAAAATTTAAAAATATTTTGAAAAAATTTAAAAACGTGAGAAAAAGTGTGAGACTAACTGTGATTATTTTAATTTACTCAAAAAACGTGAGAAAAACGTGAAGTGTGAGAAAACGTGGGTAAGTTAAAATTAGGTATGATATCGTGAAAATCATGGCTAAATCGTGACATCTGGCAACCCTGCCCCCACCCACCCAAAAGAGAATATAAAATACGGCCTAAAAAAATTCTAATATCAGGTCGAGTTAATTTTTTTGTTTTAAATCGGGCTTCTAAAAAATAAATTAGATAATAAGACTTTTTAAAAAATACAATTTTTTACCAATGATACGAAAATTGGAAAAAAATTGTTTTATCAAAATATAATATAATTAGAATTTCTCGTCAAAATAAAAATAAGTAGAATTTTTCAGGGATTAGGACAAAGTAATCTAAATTCTGATTTTTATTAGCTAAGTCAAAAAAAATTGATTACAATTTACAAATAAAATAATAATAATAAATGATCGGACTGGGTTTAAAAAATAAATAAAATCGAAGGCCGTGAAAATTATATAGTTACAAAAAATTTATTAAATCTTTTTATTTTGGGACATTAGAATAAAAAAAACTAAATAAAATAAGATTTTGATTATTGTAAATTGAACTGTATGAATGGTAAATAAATAAAAAAAGTCACATGATCTCTTTAATTACCATATAAGTAAAGTATCATATTAAAATAGAATCAATGTGCCTTTTTTGTGTGAATTATTAGTCTCATTCATTGGATTTATCAATTTTAAACTAAAAAAAATATACTTAAATCAATACTTGTAACCCCTATCTATAAAGAACATTTATTTAAAATATAATATTATAACAAACCTTTTTTTCTTTCTTCTCCTCTCTATCACCTTCACTTTCCGATGGTTTGGGATCGGTTTCAGACTGGTAAAAATGTATAAAAATAAAAAAATTAGCTATATAAGTATTTAATTTATAAATAATAAAAATATTTATTAAAAATTATAGGGAAATAACTTTTATATGATAAATAATATGTTTACTTGTGGAAGTTCATTCAAAAATATATAGGAGCCCTTATGCTGCCTAAACGACTATTTTCTCTTATGATTAGTCATTAACATTATTCGAACAAAAATTTATTCAAAATAAGTTTAAAGATATATCTATCTCTGTATATAATTATCATTATATTTGCAGACCTACAAAGTCCCAGTAAATGGTATATAAAAAACGTTGGACCTATAAAAAAATACAAACCAGAGCTGGGTTTAAATTTTTTAAATTAACTATTAAAATTCACATCATATACTACAATTCGCTTCGGGTTTTAGATTTGAAACCATTTTAAAAATAAAGATAAATTATTTAAAAAAAAGATTTAAAAACAGAGCGCGAACGCAACCAACTTTAAAAAATCCAAGGAGTGAGTTCCAAAATAAACATTATATCCAGATGGGCTGGAAAATAAATTTTAAAACTCGAACTGGATTTAATGGGTGGGTGTCTTGCATTATAACGAGAGTTTTTCATATATCAAAATTTAATAAATTTATTATGATCTTTTGTTTAAATGAAATCAGAGAAGATAATATATAATTTTTTTTTAAATATTTGAAACATAACCTAAATTTTAATTTTATTAAGAAAATGTAATTTAATTGAGAAAATAAAAAATCGAACGTGTTACAGTTATTATATAAAAACAAGATTTTTTTTATAAGGGAGAAAACAGATGCCATTGCCACAAAAGTCTATTTTATAATGGAACACTCTGCTAAATTTATTTTAAGAGTTCAGAGCTCAATAATTTTATATTCTTTGATTGCCTGTAAAAATTTAAGCATTATAATTTAAAATCTAAGACATAGTGGAAATTATGGGAAAGAAATTGATCGAAGAGATAAAATAAGAAATATTGAACGAACTTAAGTAAAAATTTATTTGTGGCATTATATTTAAATCAGGTAATTTATAAACATCAGTCAATATATATAAAGAGGTTAAATTTATTATAACTAATTATGAAAAGGAAATGGCCCGCATTTTCCAGCCAAACTCGCCCTCTAAATACTCTCATGTCAATAATGCTGAAGCACTCCTAATTAGTGATCTGCATCGGGCCTAATTTTATAAGCCCGGCCCGGCCCGAAATTTTTTTTAAAAAATTTTGCCTGCCCAGCCCGAATCCGACATTTTTTAAAAAAAGTTTTGCCGGCCCGGCCCGAATTTATTTAAATAGAGAAATTTTTATAATTACTCAAAATAAAAGACGTTATATGTCGTTTAGTTTCAATAAATAAAATCAAATTTTTATTTTATATAAAAAATTCAATATAAAATTAATAAACAGATATGATATATCTTTACTCAGGTTTATCGGATCCCCCCTCCCCCCATGTTACAGGTGGAATCATCTTCAGATTATCTTAGATAATTTTATAGTTGGTTAAAAATTCTGAAATCTAAGCCCTGGAGCTCATGCCTTATCGTTAGGATGGAGGGGATTAATGGCGTATTTTAGTGAAGCTAAACTGAGGTTATATCGATTTCCGATTGAGGGACCGGACCGATTGATGGGCCAGTCTTTTTTAAGGATCGACCGGTCTTTTATTATTATTATTTAAGTTTATTTTACAATAAAATAAAAATTTTTACCGTGGTTCGGTCTGCTCCGTATGTATTGGTCCGATTTGGATCAAAGACCAGACAGTAACTTTCACTAATTTAACCATAAATATTATTAAATACACCATTCTTCCTATTTATCTAATAAGAAATAATATATATTTTTTTAGTCAAAATAATTGACTTGGACCTATTATAACTAAAAATATCTAAGTTCTTATTTTTAATCTATAAAATGGTTTTATAATAACCACAAAGAGGGCCATTAAACAAGGGGGTTCCTAACCCCCCACCCTCCAGAATGTCAATATATTACATCAGTAGGTATTATAGTAAAAAATGATATAATATAAATAGAATTATTATTTATAAAATAATTTATATTAAAATGCATCACCATTATTTAGGGAATTGGTATGGCTATCGTAAACGAGGAGGAATAGATCAAGTATATTTTGAAATTAATATTAGTTTTTAATAAGTTATCAAGAACACAAAAATTTGAGTAAATTGCAAATGATGATAAGAATTTTTAAAAAAAATCAATATTGGTAAAGGATTAATAAACCATATGTTAGAATTGAATTTATTAATTGATAATCAAATGTAAGAAATAAATAAATAAGATAAAATAAACGCAACCTCCAAAAAAGCAACCCATATTTGGAAAATCTTCCTTCGATTTTTTTATGTTTATTTTGATATGAATTGATTTAAAATTAAATAAAAGAATAATTTCATCAGCTGTTAAGATTTAACTTAATTTCCTTTCCTTTCATACTATGTAATAAATTATGTGCATTAATGATATTCATGGTATTTGATTAATTTTTTGCATTATACATACAATCAAATTCTGCCTACATGGTAATGAAGTTGTTAAAAATCTTTGCTCACATTAGTGCTCATGCAAAATAAATGTACACTACCTCCCCTTGAAAAAAGTTTTAATTAAATATATCAAATTGGGATTTTGGAAAGAAATTGTTTCGCAATATTAGAGAGAGATCTAAATTCTAAACAATGCATAACATATAATTTTAGGTGTTATTTATAGAAATCGGCATATTTAAAAAAAATAATTTCGGACTGGGTTTTTTTTAAAAATTCGGGCAGGGGCCGACTTTGGCTTAAATTTTTAAATATTATATTCAATTTGTGAAATAAATTTATGTTTTAAAATTCTTGCAAGAATAAGGGCGGAAATATTAATATTAAATTTTTCTATGTTTAAATAAATCCGGTCGGAGGAAAAATTATTTCTAATAAAGGTCGGACTTTTTAGGCAAATAAGAAAAATAGGCCGGGCTTGAAGAATTAGGCCCTATCTTGATCACTATAATAATTTCATTGTGATGATTGATTATTTTGTAGACTTGTGTATGAGATCCCTCGACAAATATTGCAGATAGAAATCCTGAAATCCATCATTCCCAACCTCATAGGATTTTCCATCCTATGTTTATCATTCTTTCTCAATTACGACGATGGTACTAAAAAATAACGCCCTTTACCGCTTATTCAAAATATTTTAACTCTACCCATCTAACCACGAAAGAAAAATATTTCATCATACCCGGAAAATTTATTCTAAGAGATTATTGTTAACACTTTGAATTTATTCTAGCTTATATTTCTTGGATTATAGTAGATATTTTAAAAATGGCGATTTTTATTTCAAATATTTCTACCGCTTTTCTTTCCTTACCATGATGCTACTCAATAACACGTCACTTGTTTTATTTAATGAAATTTAGTGAACTTATTTAGAATTTGATTATTTTGTTTTTAATTTAAACCTTCAATCATAATTTTTTTCAAAAAATAGGCTAGAAGGATTCCCATTAGTTGGACTATAGCCAGACGCATGCATTTTTTCAAAATTTAACCCTAATCATAAATTATAGTACAAATAAAGGCACACTTCGAAATAAATTCCAGGAAAAAAAACATTTCTGAAAAAAAACCTTCCCATAATAAATCACTTGGAATAAAACTCAGGGGAAAAAAAATTACCAAGAAAAAAATAACAAATTCCCCGGAAAAAATAGCCCCGCGAGAAAAAATATCCCTTGGAAAATAAATCCCAAGAAAAAAACACCGCGAAAAAAAAATCGCCGAAAAATATTAAATTGTAAAGAAGTCACCCCTCCCCCTCCAATATAAAATTCATAGTAAAATACAATTATAATAATTATTACTAAATGCCAAGAAATAGATGATTCCCTGATCTTTATATTGGATTTCGAAATATTGGCTAGGAGCGCCTTAGAAACCATCATTAGGCTTAATGATTATTAATATTATTTTGCATTTTATCTTTTTTAATTTGTGTATCATACCATAATCAGAGGGTACTTTTATCATTTGTGTTAAAGTACACATAGAAAATTTAGAAACTATGTCTGAAACCCCAATATAAAACCAATGTAACTCTAAGCTTCGCTTCTTGGTGGCATGATTAACGGTTTAGCCTTTGTTCCATTATGTGATATCGCCAATGCAATTACATTCCTAGGAACGGTTAGCCCTAACAATGGAAAGGATATTCTCTACTCTATTAATAAAAGTTATGTCAATGAAGCATCAAGAGACATCGCAAGCATTCCCACTCCCAAACACTTCAAATCCAGTCGATTTCCACTGGAAATCTGGAACGTGGAATACTCTTAAGGAACTAACAATTAAAGTGAAGAATAGAACAATCGTTTTTTTTAGTTGATGTTAAACACCAATCAATCTTGATTTAGAAAATGAAATGCGAGGTAGCTAAACTTGAACGTTTTTAAATTGACACCTAATATAAAAGCGCAAGCTATATAAATATTTGAATTCATCTAAAATGTTGCGAGTAATACCGTGATGGAGTGCAAGACCTCCCTGGTTTTATAAGAGTGATTGTTTTTTTAAAAAAATATATCGGTGAAATGAAAAAAAAATTTTTATATAAAATTGATTTCGGAATTTTTACGATTTTTTTAGGGGGTTTATTTTTGGGAGGTTTATTTTCCGCGTGCTATTTTCTGGGGGAGGGGGGGGGGGTCCTCCTCATCACTTTGAAATTATTTAAACACAATTATGGAATTATCAAATGTAATAATTAAGTTGTTTATAAAACTTTCTTTATCTAATCTTGTCTTAATAATTTTAAGAATATTAAAAGAAATAAAAAATATATAGTCCTAAATAATTCAAGGTATTTATCCGCAAACATTACAGAATTACGAGTACTTTTTCTATAATTCAGATATCTTATTTTTTTGTAGTCCTATAACCCTATTGGATAAATACGCAATTTAATCAAGTGTTGATGGGGAGGGGCTCATGACTTCCATAATACGTAGTTTTATTAAACATCGTTTTGTAAAACTGCCCAAAAATATATAATAATAATTTGTCGTTTATTTCTTAGTAAATTGCTTTATTATAGTTTATAAATCTTTATAAATATTCTTCCACAATAAATTAATGCAATATTCTTACAATATGAAATAATGACGATATTCTTTTATTAATCCTGGATTTCGGATCTTGGGAATACTGTCAACACTAACAAATTTTTAATTACTTCATCAAAAAAAACAAACTCAACTTATAACTAAATACCGAAGTCCAAAGGAAAAGACCAAAACAAAATTAACAAGATTATCCAAATTAAGATTATTAAAAAATTTATGATTAATTTTCAAAATATAAAAAGAAACAATTTTTTTAAGGATTTTCAAAAATATTTTTATTTTATAAATTTCTTAAAATCAAATAATTTTTTAAAAATATAACACAAAAACACATAAGGAATTTTTACAAATTCAAATCAAAATAAAATAATAATATATTGATTGACATTTTAATAATTAAATAAATATCAACAATAAATATTACAAATTGTTTTAAGTTTTTTTTTATTTTGTAATATTTGTCTCTACAAATTAATACAGTCTATAAGTTTTTCTTGTAAACCTTATACCCCCCTCCCCCATTCCCCCCAGATTTATTTTTTTAAATTAAAAATATTTAACATAACATTTGGTGATTTGTTTTCCTTCGTAATAGTGTTGTTAAAAATAACGTGGGTTGATTTTTAAAAACGGCTCGATTAAGATTTTAGGTAAAAAAATAATATTATGCAAGCCTGAAGATTTTACTCCGAGATAGCAGAAAGGTTTGGGTCTCTATTTGCCAAATCTTGAGGCTCATATAATATTATTTTGGCTAAAGTCTGAATCGGGCCGTTTTTAAAAATCGAACCGAATCTGACTTTTAAACAATACAACTTTGTAAGGAGTATCGAAACGACACTCAAAAAGTAATTAATTAAATATTAGTAGCCTTTTGTGTTAAAAATACTAATATGCGCAAATAGTTTTATTATTTATTATATCAACCTCATCAAGTTTAGATTTAAAATTAATATGTTACCATTGAATAAAAGCCAACCTTTTGGGAAAAAGATGTTGATTAATATACATTAAAAAATTTTCTTATAAATAATTGATTATAACGAAAAATAGGGGATTTATTTTTGATTATACAAAATTACTGTTCATCAGTTGTTAAGAAGCGGCGCTCTACATTTTCTCAAAAACAGCTGGAGCGCCCCTCCTTTTTAAAAATGAGGAGAGGGAGCGGGAGTAGTTCCTTTTAAGGCTGGAGCGGAAGAGCGCCGCTCCACCGCTCCTTTAAATTTAATATATAAATTATATTATTTTTTAAATATTAATAATATTTGTTAATTAAAATTTAATGAAAATTAAATTTTATTTTATTTAAATTTATTCATTATTAAATGTTGAGTCGAGTTTTATATTGATTTTTCATCTAATCATTTTAAACATTAAACATCAGTTTTTCCTTTTTATATTGAAAATTTTTTGAAAAATCTTGTAAGTCATATTATTCATTTTATAGATATATAATAAAAAAAAGTTTTAGATATTATGGATTTAGAGATCATATGAAGAAGAAACCGAATTTCCATTTCCACCATATAAAAAATATTTCAAGCTTATAGATGATACAGATGATAAAGTCAACTTAAAGGCGAAATGCCTATTATCTATTAACAACAAAAGGATATCTTTCTCTAAAATCTCAAGCTTTAATTTAAAAAAACATTTAAAAGTAAAATCAATATTTGTTTTTTTTGTAATAATTTTTTTAAAATGGTTTTAATCATTTTTGGGCAATTCATTATATTAGTTGAGCTTGGGTTGTCAGATATGATGTTTTTTTATATTTTAATTTTTAATTTAATTTTCTCATTACTTGTTCAACCACCTTTTTATACATTTTTTTTCTAAATTTAAAGTATTTTTGTAAATTGAATTGTAACATCCTTATTAAAAATATACATTTTATTATGGTAAAATTTATATTTTATTTAATCTTAATTTGATTTTTTCTTATTTTATTTTGATCAATAAACTTGGAAAATAATTATTTATTTTTATTTTATATTAAAATAAGTAAAACAAAATAATAAAAAAATTTACAAAATAAAAAAAAATAAAGTACCTAAAAAGATATTTATACTGCTCATTAAATATTTGTCAATT